AACAAACCACCATGCTTCTTCCGATCATGAGTGCTCCGTCGAACGCCAGCTCAAGCGTTGTCTCTAGCTCCGACTCCTCTGTGGTCAGTATATCGAACCCGATCAACTGGTCCAGTGGCTTTGTTACCCTTGCAGCAACACATCCTTCACCCACAGATGTATCTCCCACCGTGCATGATGAACATGTGGACACCAGCGGCTTTGTTAGTTCACGTCCATCATCAGCAATTTCGAACTCATCCTCCTTGGGGACAGTGACGATCCAAACGGTGACCGACACCAATCTTTAGTTCGTTTATTCCAATTACGATCATCCTTTTCGCCAACCTAAGGGTTATCGTTTACGTAATTAGTCATGTGTCATGTCGATTCTCATTGTGGTTTTAGTAATACTAACAACTATTGTAATTATTACCCTCTCTTTATCTACCGACTACGACGACAATGGATGCTCCTTGAATTTCTCTTTTTTTCTTTTTCGGTTAGATCCCTTGTGAAGAAAACCCACTGTCTTGCCCTTTTTAATTGTTTGTGTGGCCCCGCCCACATATCTCTCTGTCTATACGTTTTCATTGTTTTTCGTCCTCATCTGTCGGTCCGCACTTCGCCCAATCCTGTCTTTACTTTTTAGGGTTCTCAAGAGCTGTTTCCGCCTTTTTCTAATCATTTATTGACCCAGCGTACTTTACCATTGACTCCGCGAAGTGAGAAATCATTACCCTCCACCTCCGCACTTCTTTCTATTCTCATCTAACTTTATTCTACTTTAGTGCAGGCATGTACAGATCGATTCATCGTTAACTACCTATTCGTCCGACCAGAGCACGGTCCTTTGTACTTTTTCACTCCTGTGCTACATAATTACTTCGTACTTGTTACCCTGGCGCTGTAACTGTATTTATCTAACTACGAACTCGTTTTCTCCCTCTCTGTCACTCTTGTCCGATTGTTAACGAACAAACAACAGTCAGTCTACTGTTTCTTTGATGCACACTGAGCTTCTAACGAGGGACTCGAGAGGGAGGGGACTGCGACTTACTAATAAGTGACACCGAATGCGCTCTTATTGTCTTGACTCAGAGCAATTCCAACTGGTCCACCCGTTGCTAGTCGTTTCGGTGTTCGGACCCTACATTTCGGCCAAGAAACACCGAAGATTTTATAGCGTTCTCTGATTCCGGCATTGCACGGTACCCTTGAGCGCTCCACACTATTCGCCAGGAAGTGCACATACATCGGTCAGCCGCCGGCACACATCCCAGACTGGGTTGCACTTTCGAATGAGCTTTGGACCTTTTTCTTGTTATCTACCTGGCTTGAACTATTTACCGAAAGCCTTGACCTCATCGCGTCAAGTAACACCAGAGCGCCGAAGAGAGAACACCTTCCCGATATTTCTGTCTGTTCTAAGCTTGAATTCAAGTTTGACAAGAGGATTTTGGATTTCTTGGTCAAAGGCGAAACTCTAGTTTGTTCAGATGGTTCACACTAGGAAGTAAAAACTAAGTAAAACTGATGGGGCTCGTCGGTACGGGAAAATAGCTTTTAGAACAGCTTATCTTTTTCGGTTACCTAATAAAATTTCGGAAATCCCTACTCGCTAACATGGACTGGACTCTTGCTAGTGTTGGATACCACGAGGGCAATGTCTTGAAAAAGTATGCACAAAAGTGTACGGCAATTAGATCTGCTCGTTGTACTCCTGAACAGGCGTTAACCTTGGAACAGCTTGATAACGGTTCACAAAATTAAATATCGCTCGCGCTTTTCAGTTTCATTGCAATCACCGGTGGTATTTCTTGTTTGTACTTTATGCTTCATAATAAGATAAAAACCTGCGGTAAACTTTTCGAACAGTTTGAGCGCTACGTTCATGAAAAATGTGGAATCATAGTTGCCTCTGTACCATGCTTCCAATTTCGTCCACCACACACGCCTAATAAAGATGTGGAGTTAGGTGTTTTTCGCATGTTTCGGAACCAACAATCACTAGTCTGGTTGGAACTGGTCCCCATTAGTGGGTGCTCCACAGAGAATCGGGCTGTTTTGCGCAATGGCTGAATCGCCCTACCCTATCGACACTATCATGTCAAAGTACTGACAAATTTCGCCGCAGTTCGGTAACCAGAACCGAAATTTGTTATCGGGCCCGAACAGCCTAGCAACGACAAGCGATGCCGTCAACCCCACTGAAACAAACAGTGTAAAATCCGACACAGCGTGTGCTCCGCAGGATCGCTGATTGTGTTGCACGATGCCTCGGACACAAGAAGATAGCGACCGCCTAGTCCGGTGCCCACCACACGAACGAAGAACTTGTAGATTTTTGGCTAGATTGCGCTGAACATCACAGTGTGAGTGGAATTGACGGCGTAAAGCTGGGTTAGAAAGCACTTATCGTAGCACTAGCTGGTCCACACAGACTGACAAAACTGTAAACGACACTCATGAGGTATTTACAAGTGAAGCCAACCAGACCCTAGGATGAACCTAAATGCATATAGTTTCCCATCGGTCTTAACCTCCATTACAAACAAAAACCCACTGGCGGACTCCAAACGTCGATTTAGTTTGGTTCAGCTGATTGATTCTGCTTCCTCCCTAATTCTCGCTAAACCTCGTAACCTGGTCATTTGGTCTGGCGAAGGTTTTGTGTCAAAAACGAAATGTTGCCCAGCAAAAAATCTACCGATTTTTTTCCAAGACTTTTCGAAAATAATGCCTTCTCAATAAGTCCGAGCATTTTCCAACTGAGTCAATCAGTAGTTTATTCTATAGACCGGGGGAAACGAACCATGAGGCGGGCACGGAACAGGATGTAGTCCAATTCTGTGCACGTTTACCGGATTGGGCAACAGCGGTGGAAATTCAATCGCCGGCAAAAAATTTAGAAGCATTCTGCGATTTGAACGATAGTAGGTGACAATGCGTCCGCATGTATTGGAAATCCAAGGTTTTGTTCAAAAACGAAATGTTGCCCAGCAAAAAATCTACCGATTTTTTTCCAAGACTTTTCGAAAATAATGCCTTCTCAATAAGTCCGAGCATTTTCCAACTGAGTCAATCAGTAGTTTATTCTATAGACCGGGGGAAACGAACCATGAGGCGGGCACGGAACAGGATGTAGTCCAATTCTGTGCACGTTTACCGGATTGGGCAACAGCGGTGGAAATTCAATCGCCGGCAAAAAATTTAGAAGCATTCTGCGATTTGAACGATAGTAGGTGACAATGCGTCCGCATGTATTGGAAATCCAAACGTGCGATAAGCAGCTAGTCATCAGTTCATTTTAGAATAAAACAATCACTACTGCCAAGAGTACAACCGAGCACCCACGCCACATCTGACGCCAGGTGGGCTTTTTCCTTCGATAGTTATTTCAGGGAGGCTTTTCTATGGCTCGAGGCTGCTATCGCTGCTGTACAAGCAGGCCACAGTTTCAACGGCTGGCCTGCTGAGGAAAGAAAGTCATCAGCCGACACGGTACTTTCAACTACATCAGTAGCTCATCTACTCCCAACGTCTAGCCTGAGCGATTAACCATTCTTTATTTCATTCTGGTATCTTTGAGAGGTCAGACCCAAAGCAACTAAAAGTTTTTGATATTTTGATATGCCCTTCTTCTCTATAGAATCAGTAGACATGTATTTTTCCCGTAAAGGTTCCATAGAATGGTTTTGTCCAAAATTGCTCCGACACGCAACGGCTAAATAGCATGGATTTGGAGAGCGTCCTGCCGTACCATAGTCGATCAGTCACTTCTGTGCACAGAGCACAGCCAAGTTGTTCTAGATCCACACCGACGCCAGCGCGCAGCTGAGGAATTCTTTCACCATTGTCTGTGGGTACCGAACCCAACCGCCTAAGTCTGCGTTGAGATATCTGGCAACCACCACGACGTAAAATGACATTCAAAGCGTCACAAGAGTTATCTTTTATGATATTAGAGCTACAGTACGTTGGGGCGTAAGTGGACACGACCAACAGATTAACAGACACTTTCCAGCTTGTGAGACACCAGCGACTATCAACGAGCATCCTTCCGCCCTGTGACTTAGGACGACACCAACTCCTGCAGTGGTCTCGCGATCACCAGAAATGTTCAGCCGGAATCAGGGAGTGCTGGGGCAGTTATTCCAATCATTTTGGTTATTGCGCTGTTTTCTTCGGAGTTAAAACAGTGAAAACAGCCAGATAGACCGAGTGTCGAGGCTTAGAAATATATCTCAAAATGCTTGAGGTTCTCGGAGCGGGCGAATACGAGCATGTTGCGGTGGAAACCTATGTAAGACGAGGAGAGTTGTCAGTCCGAACGGATTGCCCTACAAGGAAGGAGTTATGGATGGGGTCGGGAGAGGGGGAAGATGAAGTGTGAAAGAAGGAAGGGTGGTAGCAACAATAGCATGTTTTTGCTTATCCACCTCGCTATATGCAGCAAGTAGGGTAACCCGGGTTATAACATCACGCGCTGTTCGTTCTTGCAAGAATCACGGTTGTACGCGGGCTGAGACACTATCAGGAGGTCCGAACGTGAACAAGAGCCTGACCACAGGTCAGCGGTGTTTAGCGCGACATGCTAGTGGACTAAATTTTCCACAGCGAGTTGCCACACCTTCCATCCCCCCCAGCTAGAGTGACAAGGAGATTGTGTTAGTCAGGCCTCCAACCATTGACCAACCTGGTATGACACACTGCAAGGGGCACACGAGCACCCTTAGAATAGAGCAATGGGTTACGAAGACATACAAACCGGTAGACTGCAGTAATGTTAAGTCTCTCTATGATGGGAAAAACGTTATAACTCCATCGTTTGGCCTGACGAAACGAAAAGCCGGGTAACTCAATCTACTGAACATTCCCGAAATATTGACACAAGTTTCCATTCTCCTGTTACCGGTGCTCACACCTTAATACCAGCTGGCATTGCACGATTACGCATTGCTTATGAGTTGTTGGTTGCAGGATGTCTCATTCACGTTTACGCTCTCTTATGAACAGGCCTCCTCCTCCCATGGTACAATTATTCTGGTAAGTCCACAAAAGGCAGATGCAATCGATTCGAGTTTTTCTATCATTCGAGCTATTCAGCTGTGTGTATACTTGGACGCGCGGGATTTAAACTCCGCACATTTGACATGCACAGTGAGCATGTTGCTGCCACTTGACCAGCGCAAGCTGGGAACACGTCTCAATTTTCACGTCCAAACAGGCGAACGTGTCCAGGCTTGAGCGGTTTGATTGGTTTGCTCGATGGCTCGAACGACGACCAAGTAACTGCGCTGGTTGTGTC